GGTTTTAAAGGACTGTTTTTCAACACTCCTACAACATTATTTTAACAGCTCAATTGCTCAATAGCTATCACTGTTGTGAGTAGGAAGAGGGCCATGTTAGTGATGAAGTGCCTCTCAAAAAAGAAGTGGGAACTCTGATTCAGTACTAACATAGGAGTTTATCACACAGGGAAAATCCCGTACGGAAATGGGGCTTTAAATTGGAAAAAAACTGCAAAAGTGGTTAGATTTTCAGATGACGTCGCTGTTAAAATGTGGTTAATCCGAATGGAAACTCATCAAAAACTGCTTCTTTTTACTTTCAGGATTTTCCGAAAGTAAAAAGAAGCAGTTTCTGACTACTTTCCATTCAGATTAACCCCATTTCAAGAGTTAACTAGACTCAAATTCAGATTAAAACCTGTACTTCCAACCACATTCCCATGAAAGCACATGTCTTTCAGGTATGGCTCATCTTGAAAAAGGTCAGCCCTGGGATGACAGCATCCAATAGCTTATTTTTCTGATTAGTTGACCATTGATTCCTTTTAATAAGTGCTTATTTGGTAGTTTCTCTCCACCTTGAAGAAAGATTTAACATGAAAGAACACTAACTTGGAAATTGGAGGAGAGGCACATCACAGGTAGACAACAAAGTATCATTCTTTTTGATTGTCTCGCCCACGTTCATGATGTTGGAGGTGGCTGGTCTGTTGTTTGGATTGGCACAATTCCTGTGCAGCTTGCAGGTGTATTGACTCATTCTGTATGCCCGAAAACCCTATTCTTGGTCTCAAATCTGTGTGTCCCTCGATTGTTTTGTTGCTGCTGTTCTTCTTCAGCAAATCATGTACCATAATTTTTCATCTAAGATAAAGATGCAAATTGTATTTTGGAGCAGATATTTAGCATCACATAAAGCATCTGAAAAGTTGGAAGCCTGAGGGATGAGAACCAGAGGATGGATGGACAGCAAGTTGGTGGAAAAACATTTTCCTCTGAGTGCATGAAAATTTAAGTACCAAGGGACGCCCCTGCTCTCTGTTTTATTGCAATGAACTTAGATACATTTTCTGTGATGTGTGGCATTTCAATCCCTCTTTGGATTTCATTAGGAAATCCTGGGCATTAAACTGCCAAGATTACAATCCTATACAGTATTCATTTACTAGAGTACTAGCAGAAAACCTCACAGACCTGGAACACCT